AACTAACAACATAACTTGATCCATTGGGATCAAACTGTCCCCAACTAAATCATATATGGGTTCAATCATAGGTATCCAAGGATGATTAACATGTATTTGGTCAAAAGCACGTCCAAAACGAATATTAATTGAACTGTCATTATCTACCAACATGCGATGAGAACTATTACGAGCTATTACAACATATACTATCAATGCATCGCAATTGGTATATATAACTCCATGTTCATCATTATTATCAAAAGTATTTGGAAGAGATGTGGGTTTATGATTACCTCAAATCCAAAACACTATGTATAGAGTTTCTAGCTGCACAAGGGTAGTTCCTTTGTCCACTTATTGTATTTCCTCCAGTATACGTGCCTTCGATTATGGTCTTGATCTCCTTTATCGGGGTAGAAAGTTGGAAGCATTTGCTGGTGGTTGCTTCAGATCAGCCTGTATTGGTCTTCTTGTTTGTATAAGATGATCTTTCACCTTTGATTATCTTCTGCAAACTTCCCTATTGACTTCGCAATTTAATCATCCTTGATATCTCATAACATTCATTTGTATTTGTTGGGACCGGTGGAAACGAAAGGCAAGAATTGAGATTTAATGGACACCAATTAAGTATAATACAAGATCACAAAATACCACAAACAAGATTAAAGTAAAAGATGAATTAAGCAAAGGAACAACGAATTTTATTAATATGGAGAGAATTACAACTGAACAGCAATGATGCCTCAGTAAAATTGACAGATGAGACATTAATTTATAGTCCACGAGTCTAACCCTAAAAGAGTCCCAAAAAGGTAGAAAATCTAATGCAATTTAGATTCCTATTTGAGTCACACTTCTAACAATCTCCACCTTGACTCAAAATTTCGGTGCAACAAACAAAACTCCAAAATTTCTCCACCTTGAGAAATAATCCGTCTGCATCAGAATAACCAATCTCCTCAACACAGTAACCAAACTCTCCATGATAACACGTTCCCCCGTCGGCGTCCACAAGTGACACTCGAACCCAAACATGGGTTCCTAAAATTCCTCCTGGAATTAACAATCACTGGACAGGGTCGAAGCATACCCTATAGTAGAAAAACCACACCAAATGCACAATCAGAAGGTCCCTTGCCAATATTGTCACCTTTAATGATTTCTAAAGCATTACAGACATCTCCAAAACTGTACCTACGCTCCATGAGTCCACTGGCATTACAAGAACACAGTATACCCACTAAAATTGGTGGCAAAGCGGAATTACCAATACTCCCTTGAGCAAAGTTCTTAACTGACCCAGAGCCAAACTCGAGAGGTACTATACCAAATTGAATGTCCACCACGGTACTGAACTTCTCCAAATGTCTTTGAACTAGTTCTGCGCTCCCCTGCAAGATGTACAACTGGGATTTTCTTCGTCCCTTCAATACAACCCGGACACCCCTTTAAACCTTCAAGACTCCACCTCCACCAGAAAATTTGAACCCTTTTTCATCCAAGGTACTCAGTGATATGAGATTCTTTCCCAAGTCTGGAACATGTCGAACCTGATCAACTGTCCTCACTGTTCCATCCTATAGCCTCAATATGACCCGACCGATTCCTGCAACCCGACAAGATAGGTTGTTTTCCCTCAAAACTCCAACTTGCTTCACCATCTCATATGTTTGAAACAAATCCCTATTGGGACACATATGATACGAACAAGAAGAATCCAAAATCCACTCCTCAGGTTTGGATTCCCCGTCAAATACAGCCAACATCACATCTCTATCATTACAAAAATTTTCAACAATATTAGTCTCGTTCGAATTACCTGATTGCCCCGCATGATTTGCATGTAAATCACCTTTACCCTGCAACTTGTCACAATCTTTCTTGATGTGCCCTTTCCTCTTGCAGTAATAACAATACACATTGCTGTACCTCACCTTCGATCTACCCCTTCGTCGATCACCATGAGTAACAAGAGCATCCCCACTCCTAGATGCAAGATCTCCAACCAACAACTCCATCTTCTCTTTTGATAACAGGGCATCGTATACCTCCTCAATGGATAACGTGTCACGACTATACAGAATAGTATCATGAAATGATGAAAAATAATTGGGTAGCGAACGCAACAGGACCAAGGCTAGATTCTTTTCATCATATTTTACCTCCAACGTCTCCAAATCTGCAACGATCTCCTTGAACACAGCAAGGCGGTCCTGCAGTGACCCTCCTTGCACCATGCGATGAGAATACAACCTCTGCTTTAGAGTCAGTTTGCTCGTCAAACTCTTTGTCATGCACAACTGCTCCAGCTTGAGCCACAAAGCAGCCGCTGTCTTCTCCTTCAAAACATCTTGTAGCAAATTGTTGGATAAATGAAGTTGAATTTGCGCTAAAGCCTTTCGATCCTTTCGTTGTTTCTCCTCCATAGACAAGTTTGCTGGCGTCCTATCAAAACCTAGTAAAGCATCATCAAGATCCATCTGT